ATGTGAAAGTCAGTGACTACGATCATGCAGTAATGGATGGTGAATATGATGCCTGCGAAGAGCAACGTGAAGCTGGTGGCGATGACCCAAAAATTAAAGATACTGAACAAGAACGCAAGATGAAAACAGTTAAACCCACATGACGGCGATAAATGTATAGACAGAGGATCATGAAGGCTATAACGCTATTACAGATATTATCGAAGATTAGAGTGGGGGCAATTATGCTATGAAAATGATAGCGAAGGTGGTCATATCAATTTTGGCGAAGAGTGTGATCACGCTCAGTAGGGACTGTTTTGTTCATGGTCATGATACCGACGAGAAACATGACAGAAACGGTGAGTATGATGAGAAACTGACGAGAGCGAGAGCGAGAGTGAGAGTTATGACGACGATTACAAAGAAAATGATTATAGATAAGAATTCTGTTAACAATGGTGATAGTGAAGATTTTAATACTGTTAATGAAGATAATTATGACGGTCTGAAGAGAATGATAGCAATGATACTGACCATAATAATTACCGTTATAACGACTGATTTCAATGAGAACAGGCGTCAGGATTATAGTTTGATTCATTGTGGTAATGAGCATAATTTATAATTATCTGAGTGATGACGGTAGCATACATGACAACAGTAATGACAAGGATTATGATAATGGATATCATGATTGTCATACTGATAAGGAGTGACAGCCAGAAGCATACAGATAATGATTATGGATGATGGCGAAAGAACATGAAGCGACGGTGGTGATGAGTACCACTGACAATTACGAACACTCGAAACATGGAGATCATTACAGGTATGAAAATGTCCATAATGAGGGTAATGACGGCGCTGCTCAGATTATGTTTATTATTAAGACAGTAATGATAGCGGTGAAGAAAGACAAATAACTTATTGAAAAGTAGTCAAGAAAATGATTGCAGTTAACTTAATGGGTGCTCATTTCGAACTGTTCTCATGCTTTACCAACAGTGCATACTCACTGTGCTAAACATCTAAGTATACAATGTAACTCAGCAAATAAACACAAGTATTTTCTGAAAAACTGTAAGAAATGAAGTAAACTACATGTCTACCATTACCATACAAATTATCATTTTGGGCATTGCTGTTCCGTCGAACTTGGAATACTGTATGATTTCTTTTCCAGACTTAGCCGGTAGTCCTGTCCTTGCACGCCGAGACTCAAACTATGACGTAATATTCACAGCTGCCTGACATCTGTTCCCCCCTACATGTAAAGAATGTAAAGAAGAACAGACATTAAAACGAAGTTAATCCTGAATACGGCATATGTACGATACTTTGGTTAAGCTTATGCTGCTGTTTTTGAAAGTAAGGTAATAATAGCAGTCACAGAATGATACAGTAATACACGCAAGTTACAGAAATGAATAACCGCAGTTGTTTGAATTCCTGAAACCAATAATTAAAAAATTATAATAACTGATTCAGAACTGCAACGTAAACGAATAAATGATCCTATATGTACTAATTCCTTCACTTTGCAAATTGCTCCATGATTATAAATGCCAAAAATATTAACATTGCTGTTAGATTGGATATCTCAGCGCGAGCTGTTATCCAGTCTTCAATGACGCATATGCAAAACTGAAGACTCTCAAGGAGACTAATTATTCAAGCGACAGTTTTTCTCTTTCAGTTGTGTGGGTTTCTCCCAGATTGTTTAGTACTGATTACACATCACGGAATTGGCACTAGGCAAACCATAGCATACTGAAAGCGAGCAGAGGAGCAATCATGTTCAAGATGTCAAGAGACTAAAGAAGGTAGAGCAAAATCAAAAGCATCAGTCGTCATTACCTTTGTCTTCGCCAAAGTAGTCCCAGTTGCTTTCTTTCAAATGCGGCCAGAACAAACCGTATTCATAGCGGTGGATCGAGACGTACATCACTTGGTGGGAATCGTAGAAAGCGCGCTGAATTCCCTGACCGTGATGAACGTCAAAGTCAACCACCAGCACCCGCTTGAGCCCGTAGCGCCGCAGAGCAACCTCGCAGGCGATGGCGACATTGTTGAAAATACTAAATCCGTTTGCTTCACCGAACAAAGCATGGTGCCCCGGTGGACGAACCAACGCGAACGCGTTCCTGCACTGTGACGTCATCACCGAATTCACTGCCTCTAGCAAGGAGCCGACGGCGAACGAAGCCACGTCAAAGGTATGAATGCTGACGTAAGCATCATTGAACTCGCTGGATATCGCCTTCAGCTCAACGTTGTTCTTCGAACTGCAACTGGAGATCAGATCGATGTATTCCTTGCTATGCACGGTCATTAACTCTTCGCGGGTCGCTTGTCGTCCCTGAATTTTCATGCAACGATCCAACAGTTTCCATTCGGCACATTTTTCCAAACTTCGCGTAAAACGAGCCGGTTTCTCAATGTGCAGCTCGCTCCATGGGCAAGCATGCATGCAGAATTTTTCGTCATACGAGACTCCTGTGAAGTAAGGCTGTTCATTGTCTTTCTCGAGGTCCTCCTGCTCAATCATGGCTCCAAAAGTATGAGTATAAGCAACTCAAACGTGCCAAACGGCCAGGTAAATAATTCTGCATACGACAGAACCGTTCAGGCTTCGAAAACTAAATTAAATTTGCTATATACATCGAGCCATCCAGAAAATTCGCATATTCAAATATATATGGAATACTGTAAGCCAGGTTAATTCAGAGAGAAAAGTAATACAACGCCAAAGAACAAGCCATTCAATTTACAACGACCGTGAACGGGAGAATTACCCATTGCAGTTTTATTTTATAACTGATTACAGTGCAGAAGAGAAGCACACGGACCAAACTTGTCATAACCTAAAAAATCCGTATAATTATATTTTGTCGGGTCAATTACCAGGCTGACTCAGCAGTATTTCGTGTTCATTCCCCGATGATGACCGATGCAAATTTGGTTGAAACTTTGGAACTGCTGTAAATAAAACGGTTTCTTCTTGTTTTCTCGTGCTGCCAACCATGAAACCAGAAGAACTATCACCTTCAAGTCATCCAAGGCACGGTATCGGCATGAGCCTTAGAAATTAATTATATTTTGTATTTACTACAAATTCAATGCCTGATAAAATATTCAATTCAAACATCACATTGAACATCTGCAATAAAGCTAACTAAATAGTCTGTTAGTTCAGGGTAGTCAGTTAATCCAGCTATAGGTTGTTCTTTCAACCCTCAAACTAATTCTGTTTCAGATTGGAACTTTCTACCATTCGGTATAACTCACTACGGATACTAAACAGGCATCGTTAACCATTACATTTTCGTAACATGTAGAAAATGGAAACATTATTAAATTATCAGTGGTAGGGTAAAAACAAGGAGAGGATTTCATTTTCATACGGTTTTATGGTGGCTAGTGATAGATAAAATTACGGCGGAATGCATTTATGCAAACAACTTACTGTTATCTGTACAACAGAAAAAAGTTATTTCCTTTGACACGAGTTAATAACGGTAAGAACAAAAAATAAAATATTCGTTTCGTCTGACAGGTAAATTAAAGTTAATAACTAAATGAAAAATAACAAATAAACGAATTGTGAAAATACTCAAACAAATTATACCACTTAATAAATGTTTCTTCACCATAATCACAGACCCTCGTAATCCATAGAGTATGAACTTACAAGACATCTCCGATCACAGTCAATCTGTACTTACGGGCCATATCGACACAAGCAAATTATTAACATATGAAAATACATGCACATGGAAAAGTTCGATCATATCTTTGTACGCTGACAGTCTGATGATTGGACGATATAGTCCCTGAGGATAGATCGAGTATGATTTGAAACGTCATGCAAATTCATACCGCTCTGGCAAATGCGAAGCAGGCGATTTTGTGATTTGGCTGAAATACCACCTACTCGGATAAAACAAATTCTTCATGTCTGATATTCATAGTTATAACATATGAGAATCTGCTAGAAACAGACTGAATTTAAAGGAGAGTACTCCAGTTCCTCAAAACTCGGTAGACAGGCTAGAATTAAAAGGATGAACAATATCTTTAACGTCATTGCTACAGCGTGCGATCAAAATTTGAAAAATAATGTAAATTATAGTTTTTAATAATGCTTGAATTCTTAATTATGGCGCAACGTTCCTCATTCTGCAAACGAATTCCGAGGATTTCCAATGCACACAAATATCAGTGACAAACGCTACGACTTTCGACTCGCACTGAACCATCTTCAATTTTTAAACGCCAATTCTGCATACGCAATGAGCGCAAAACATAGACACTTAATTTTTAGAGCAAACTTTTGAAACACCTTCGCGACAAACAACCTACAATTGCAATAGCCAAGCATCGAATACGCTACGAGGTTTTCTAGGGGCAAAACAAAATTTCCCTTTCGGTATGAAAATGGGTTGCAAAACGTGCTAATAACTATAAATAAATCATAATATTGAAAATAGATAAAGAAACTACTAAGTTTGGCATATATGTACTTTAGTAGGGAGATTTCCCAAAACGAAATGGTGCTCAGTTTTACGCTGAAGAAAGAAAACCGTTTTCTGTTCCACGAGCTCCCCATTGATAAAAATGTTAATCAATACTTTTCCTGTTAATTTGTTACTATTAAGAACCCATGTCATTTCGAATTAAAATATTATGCAGGCAGAAAAACTTACTTAATTACTTA